TTCAAATCTATATAGATTAAAAACTACGCTAAATGGCAACTCTCCTGCCTGACGCATAGATTCGTATAATGGGAGAGAATGCAAACTTAGTAAAAAAAATGATTTATTTACTGCTTAGTATAAACTTGCGATATTCCTAGAATGTATAAAGTCCATTTATTGGACAAAATGCGTTAAGTCACTGATTTCAAGTGATTTATTGATAAAAGTAAACAAAGGATTTCGTAATGATTAAGTTATATACCACAAAAATGTACATTGACTGGGAATATCCGTATATATCGGTGATACCTCGTAATCAGTAATCACAGACGGATCACAGCTGTAACAATGCACTATCGTCGATCGTGCAGTGTGCATTGGAGGAGGGCAGTATTTTTGCCGGACCATCGGTGCAGGCTCGTACCACATACTGCTTGGCGATCATACATCGAACTAATCGGTATTAGTTTCCCAATACCTACCATGACTGTTGTTTACCTTGGACCGGGTGATCAGAAGCTTTTTCGTCCACAAGTTGCAGGTTCTGGATGTCACCGTCTTCTGTAGCTTGATAAGACTAGGACTCATCTGCGGTATTGAGAGTAAAGGCCGGCGCAAAATAGATACGTTTTCGGGTTTTTTGACAGTTAACCCATGCATTATCTGTCAAAAAACCCGAAAACATATCTATTGTGCGCTGGCCTTAAGTATACAGTGCCTTTTCCTTACAGTTCATCAGCACCGACCAGAGATGCCAGATCTACGGAAATCTCCGGAGATCTACGGATTTTACAATTTTTTGCGGAAATACGGATCCGTAGGCAAAATCTACGGAATTCGGTACAGTTTCTACGGATTTTTTCTTCAGTGTACGTTTCCCTCCAGAATCGAATTTTACAGTCTGATTTTGAAGGCAAAGAAGTAATATACACCTCTACAACTTGTCAACCGTTTTCTTGCTCACTTATTCGCTTTTTGAGTAAACAAACGTCAGACTGTGCGTGAAACATGGCGGCCTCCGTACTATCTCTTCACTCCGTCGAAAGTTCTCATAATATACAGTCAATCTTTGCATGAAGAGAAAAATTTTCGACGGTGCCGTGTGAAGGCGAATAAAAGTCATGTCGAGACCTGTCTTGTAAGCGGTCACCGTAGTCGACACAGTTTCTGTGATAATCGACTGCCTTTGCTTCCGACACTTGCAAAACAAGCTTTCAAATCACAGTACCAAACTAAAATGTCATACGACAGGCTCTGTCATACGACACTGTCGCCGAAGACCATCACGGATGTAAGTATTTTAGTTTTTCTGCTGATTTTTTGCTTGTGCAAGCAACGATGTCATAGTAATAACCTTTTTGATCAGAAATGGTTCGATTTACACCAAATTCAGGAATTAGAACGAAATCGCATATGTCATATGATAGTCATTTGATAGTTTTCTTTTTGCTCGAATGTTGTTCTACCGTTTGCGTTATGTAAGAGAGACGACTCTCTCTTCCCCATCAGCTCGATGATGATCAGGCCTTCAACGTGTTCATCAAAAAGCACGTAATCCATAAGTCGTCGTACTTGTCCGGCTTTATAAAGGGAACTACGGTTAAAGCGTGGCTTTCTTATTAGATTACGACACCACTGTGCCACCGCTACGGGATCACAATTGATCAGATCGCCATAGATGGTCTTGAAACTCCTGTAGTGGATCCTCAAATTGAGCTGGAAACCATTGCCGTGGATAATGAGACAGAATTGCTGCTTGGGCAACAGCAAACACTCCTTTGGAATGAGAAAAAATGCCTGGAGATCGCTCCCGCGCAAAACAGGGTTCCTGTGTCTTTAATATATGACGAGCACGGCGAAGAGATAGCTTTTTCCAGCCATTTGTTTCGGCCATCTATGGAAATTCAAGCCAGGGGTTCGGGTGACATATTTCATGATGGCATCCAGTGAAACTCGTCGTCAAGACAGGCGTGTGGCCAAACCAAATTTGTTGTATATGACAATGAAAGTTCTTCGGCTTAGAGTTTCCGAAGGCTTGCAATGTACTTTTAAGTGCACGGTGACCGCAAACATTACACGTGGACCTTAATTAAGGACCGCATTATTCATGGAGCAGTGCATTGAGCGAAATCTATCCTTCCTCAAATCAATACCGATTTCAGTACAGTATTGGCAACAAAGGAAGAGAAATTTGTTCACCATGATGCGACAATCGGGAAAGCCTACGATGTTCCTCACACTCAGTGCAAGTGAGATGAAGTGGCCCATTTGTTGAATCTCTTACATCGGTTGTCAGACGGACACAATGGCAATGACTTAACAGATCCAATCCAGGAATTGACTGCACTACAAAGAGCAACTCTGATGAATGATCATCCAGTCACGTGCTGCGTGTACTTCAACAAGCTAGTTGACACGATTGAATTTCAGCACCGTGGAAGTCCTCACGCGCACATCTTGCTATGGCTGAACAAGCATCCCCGGGAAGTAATCAGTAAAAGTATGCCAAAAACTACAGGTGCAACAGTATCATGGTATTCATGCCTGTACTACTATCGGCCCTTTTCAGAGCCACCAAGATTTCCCAAAAGAGTTAAATTTCTGAACATGTCCCATCTAAAATTCATATCAAAAGCTTCTTTTCGATTGCCCTGGAAAAAAGTATAAACAGAGAGAACCCAGCTCAAATTCCTATTTCTACACAAAACACAAGTCCTGCTGCAGTTAACAAATAACATTTATTATATACAGACCACGTAGTCCGACGTCACCATTGCGTACAACCCCAGAGGACTGTCCCTGGTATTTTTTTTCAAACGTTCTTTCATCGATTTATCATTTAACGTAAAATATCAACTTAGAACTAAAAAAAATAACACCTTCGACTAAAAAAAATCCGTAGAAATCCGTAGATTTGAATAAGTCTACGGAATTGCATAGAAAAAAATCTGGCATCTCTGGCACCGACATCCACACCTTCTGATCGACTCCGTCCTCCGCTTGGAAGTGGTACGATCTGGTTCAGATGGAATCGTAGTAAATACTTAACTCTTCCATATTCCCAACAATACTTACGGCGAGACTTACGGCTAATCAGATCGAATTCTTATCTGTCATCGAGCACCGGATTATTCACCCAGGTTGACGATTTCGTTTCATCTGCGAGGTAAATATCCGAGCCCTTCGTGCGTCACCGTCACACCACTTCTTCAGTATAATTTTTATCGGCATCTTTTTAATTGAAAACATTCTCCTTAATTTAGTCCAGTGACGACCGGGAAACTTGTTAATGCTATGAATTCACGGGAATTTCACTAGCAAAAACCACCGCACCGTAAGATTTCACACAAAACCTCGCGCAAAACCACGCCGATGACCTCCTCGTCTGCAAGTCTATCAAAAGCAATACCAACGAACAAATTCCCCTCCGTAATTCGGTGTTAGTATAAATTTGAAATACATTTTAATCGAATCAATGTATAAACATCGTTTATACATAAAATTATTAATTTTCAATCTTTCTTAGTTTAGTAATATTTTTGAGTGTAGACTGAGTAAAATCCACCCGCCGGTATTTTCAGTTGCGGGGAGGGTTTTTGTTTTGACTTTTATTCAAGGAAATGGAAATAATTCAGTGCCAACATTTCAAAGGGGCGTAATTGCATTTGTAAACAATGGCTTTAGCCGTCGATTTCTCGCGAATAAAAGCTCACTCATGAAAAATAATGACACCAGAAGGTAGAGGAATGTTTCCTCTACCAGCTAGCATTGTTATTTTGGAGAGGTAAGATTTCATTCGCGAGAAATTGACGGCTAAAGTCATTGTTTACAAAAGCAATTACGCCCCTTTGAAATGTTGGCACTGAATTATTGTCTGCTCCGGATTCATTCTGCCGGAGTAGAAAATGGTTCAACACCGTTTCCCTAAACAATTCGTACTTACCTGAAGGCATTCCAGCCGGTTTTAAGTAACATTTCGACAGTGAGCATGCACGCGATGATCGATTCTCTTCGTCGATTTTCTCTTTTGTTAATAACTCGCTAGATTTAACGTTTCTCGGTGCGTTTGCTGTTGCTTTTGATAGCCAATACAACCATTGAACAAATTCTAGAAAATTGTTCCGCTTAGCTGTAACAATGCAAAGAGAAAATCGATGAAGAGAATCGATCATCGCGTATTCGCCCTTATGCATGCTCACTGTCGAATTTTCTATGAGGTTACCTCCGAAATGACTGGCATTTTTTCCAAGTCCAGGATATTGCTGACTGAGTGGCTTTTACTCAGTTTGACATTTCCCGTTTACTCAATTTTTGACAACTCGATACATCGGAACTTTTGGGTTCCTGCCTCTTACACGCTAATATCAGTTTACCTCGTACAAAGAGATTACCGAGATTGGCCGTAAATTGCACAAACTCACATATGGGTAAATTTTTTTAACCCAAATATGGGTTGTTGTGAACCATAAATGATTTATTTTTAAGCAAATTTGATTTAAATTTACCCATATTTGGGTTAAAAAATTTACCTATATCTGAGTTCGTGCAGTTTACGCCTGATTTGGGTAAAGTAAACCTATATTTGGGTTATCTGATCTTAGCGTGTAGGGTTCCTGCACTATATTAAGAACAATGTTCACGGCGAATGAGAACGACCCAAATTTTGAGTTTAGTTCACTCATAATCACCAAAAGTGCAGGAACTCAGCGATGAGTAAATTTGCCTCTTGTTTTCCCAGGTTTTTCCAGGGAAAAAATCCCAAATTTGTGAAAAGTAAAGATTGGATTAACTCATTCTATTGGTACTACTCCGAGACTGAATAAAATTTTCGTCAATTTCCTCATTTCCGGCAGATTTGTTAGGTTTTCCACAGGAAACCATGAGACAAATTTAGCTCATCGCTGCGTTCCTGCACTTTTGGCGATTATGAGTGAACTAAACTCAAATTTGGGTCATTTTCATTCGCCGTGTTTTTATTCATACGGCCCAGTGTCATTCAACGTGGATTTACCGGATTTTCGGATTTACGAGTGTCGTTGTTCCGGCTTCGTCTGCCTCGATTGAAGCCCTGTTATTGGAAATCTCGATAAAACAAACATTTTAATCAGCAAAACCCAAAATGCCATTCACTTGTATCAGAAGGTATCCACGCTGTCATCGTACATTTATTCGCAGTTTCAAACAATCGGTCTTTTACGATGTTTTCAGAGACTCGTCAAACATCAAATTCGATGTGCCACTGGCAGGAACCCTCGAGCAGCTGGTGAACAATATGTACCAGGCGGATGTCCTGTTCAAGGTAGGTCAGTGCGGAGAACTGATATACGCTCATAAACTGATCATCACGACGGCTAGCGAGGTGTTTTTCGCGCAATTCAACTGGAGCTTCGCAGAATCGAAAAGAGATACCCTTGCTGATCCGGTAGTAATAGAGGATGTCGAGCCGGCCCCATTTCTGGAACTACTGCGCTACATTTATTGCAGAGAGGTTGACATCCAGCCCGGCAACATGCTGGATATATACTACGCTTCGGAAAAGTACATGTTGAGAAAACTGAGTATGATATGCGAGGACAACTTGTATAGACTGATCAACGAAACCAGCGTAATGAAGGTACTACAGCATAACCGACGGTACAAGTTTCCCGTAGTTGATACTATTTGTGTAAGAATAATCTGCGATAATCCGCTAAAGTACTTTAAGCAGGAAGAATTTCTAACCCTGAGCCAGCAAGCACTGCAGCTGATTGCTTCCAGCTCAGCCATGAATTGTCGCATTGACCAGTTGGATCAAGCGATCACACAATGGAAGCAGAGCAACAAAAAAGCTGAGATAGATGTTCAGTTGGAATCGTTACTATGCCGAAAACTTTACTTTTTTGACAAAGGTTCTTATAACTCCAACATCGATACACGCTTCAAAGTGGGTGTAGCGACGAATATTGACCTGTACGGTGTGGGCATCTACGTGGGCATAGAGGGTGATTCCCCTCCTTTTCGTGATAGTACCATCACTATAAGAGTGGATCTCAATGGATTGTTTGTCGAGGAGACGGTTGCCGTTGTGAATACTCTGAAGATTCATGAGATTATGTTTGAGAAGCAATTGATTGTTGGGCTATGCGAGATTAGCGTAAAAATAGTCAAACACGACTGTCTGAAGGAGGACAAAATGTTTAATCTCAAAGGATTATCTACGACGGGTGATTCAAGGTTCACGGTTAACTCGGTTAATCAATCCATAACCAACGGCCGAGTGTCGCAAATCAATTGCGTCGCATATTTGCTATACAACTGGAAATAACATGTCGGCTAGTGTTATGTGCAGACTGCAGAGTTCTAAGACTATATCAGATGAGCTTTATTTTATTATAAATTTTTGTGCAGTTTGGAAAAGGCATAACATTGTCCACAAATGTTAACTCGTCATTCTTCTTTTTTTTTCTATATAAGTTTGGTTATCAACATTCCTAAGGAAACGTTCACAATTATTTTTCTTAAATAATACTGACTTGGATTTACCAAATTGATGCGTTAATTAATAAAAAAAATAAAAAAAAACAGTATTTTGGAAATTTTGATTTTTACACTGCTTACAAATCTGGAGTCCTTTTTGAATAGGTCCTATGTTTATTAATCCATAAAAAATAGATGAACTTGATTCGCTTTCTACGGCGAACTAAGAGGTGACCGATTCCACGCCAAAACGGTCGGTCACCGAACTCGACTATCTTCGATCTGGATGACACTTGGCACATATTTTCAACATCTGATTCAATACTAATTTTTGAAATTATTGGCTAAGAAAGTTTGATGACAGAATATGATTATAAAAATCATTTCAAACAATAGTGCTCGTATAGACAAACTACCTAAATGTAACCGTTTTCGAAACGTTTTAAAATTAGTTTCATCATAATTGTACTGGACAAGCCAAGAAATGTGAATTTGATAAAACTCAAGTCGGGAGTTGAGGCAACCGGTGAACACTCGTGTTTATTTCAGTTACCATGGGGACGTAATTTGTAATTAGCCCCGGTCCCTTTCAAATTGTATCATTATTTATGTACGGCCTTATGTGAAATGTGAAGTGGACCCTACACGGTTGCTTTTATTGACAATAATCGTATTGTCAATACATTCTATATTGACGTCAATACATCGAGATTGACAATATTTCTGAATTCACATCATCAATATTATTGTCAATACTTGTAAGTATTGACAATATTTCTTACCGTGTGGGGTTTGCTTGAAATGACGTTTCACATTCATCTAGCGATGGCCGATTTTCATTCGAATAATCGATTAATCGATTAACGAACCGAAAAGTAAAATATTTGTAATCGATTATATCATGTCGATATGAGCATTAACTTCTCCAGAGGATCATCACCCATCGTTTCAAACATGTTCTGTACTCTCATTGGTGAAAAATGACATTACGGCGAACAAAAAATAATCGATTAGGTGTTAATCGAGTAACATCAGAGAGTGGGACATCTCTGATTTTGGTGTGATTGTTTTGATAAAAAAAGTGCGCCAAATTTCATCTCTTCCGAGGGGGCAGCAAAACCATGTTATAACGAACATAGGGAATGAGACAGCTACCAAACCAACGATGTCGAACTCGAGAGATCATGTAAATCCAGCTGGGTGATATGCCGCCATGTTATTGAAACCAACATCTGAAACGTCACAATTCAAGTGTGAACTGCAAAAATGGCGTGACTGAATTGTCTTATTTTTATCAAATGAAATTATTTTCCCTTTTAAATGGTTGACTTCGTGGTAGAAAATAATATTTTATGAGTTCTAAGTTTATTTTTCACAAAATGTAAGCAAAAATATCAAGAATATCTTAAATATCAGTCATGCCTTTTTTTGAAATTCTGGCTTGAATCGACAATTATTGCCGATGATGAAAAATGTGCAACTTTGATTTCCAGCGGTGTGTCAGTGGCACAACGTGTAAGAACACCGTCAATTGCATTGCTGTCCAGAATCGAAGACTATTAGCTAAACTGTACCAGTTGAAGCAAGAAGAGTGGCCACGGGGTGATCGTCATGCATCCTGCCGGCGGATAATTGCCGAATTTGAACAGGTTTTGGTTTGCTGATGGCCGTTTGATTATAGAATGGCCTAACACTTTTTCTGTTCTTTGCAGATCTCACCAATTGGTTTCCGGAAGGCACCTAGCATGTCGTGTTCGAGAAGTTTTGGAAGTGTGACGACTCAGAACCATTGCGAGAGCCGGTAGATACCCTTCTGCATCCAGGTAAAGTCAAATTAGCGCAGAAACAGATCTTCGATGAGCTACGAATTACAATTATAATTTTAGATTACCAACAACGATGATGATTATGAGGCGGGTCTATCGAGACGGCTAGCCCGAAATGGAACAACTAGGAGGATTCCAGATCGGGGTTTCGTCCAATAATACCGAAATCGCAATCGCAAAAGCTGACCAGGAAGGCCACGACCAAGGCCATCATTGTCCAGACTGGAGCTTATCATGTTACCCGAATTCATATCAGCCGATGTGGATCTTTACTGTTAATCTTTCAGTTGTTGAAATATAGCTTCGACTCCAACTAAAACATGAGTCCAAAGAAATAAATATATTTTCCATATTTGTATTGCATTTATTTACCAAACCAACAACAAGCAAATAAAACTGACAGCAAGGGAAGCAACAATGAAAGCTAACACGAATAAATAAACGCTATGCATCGAAAGAATTGACGAGTGCACGGATGGATTTGAGTTCACTCACTCGACAAAAAGTGACACAACAGCGGGGCCCTGTTTACTAAAAATGAACACATCAATAATGCTCGCATAACATTTGCAAAGGGCCTATCAACTTTTGTAAATAATTTGCTAGGTCCTTTTCACGAGAACCGAAGTACGCCCACGCAAACCAAGAGCACTATCGGGAAGGGGAGAATTTCCCCTGCCCGTTGGTGTTGTTAGTTTGCGTGAGCGTATTCGGTTCGCGCGAAAAAGGCTTAACAAGTTTTGTATACATAAGTTGATAGACCCGTTTCAAATGTTACGTGAGTATTATTCATGTGTTCATTTTTAGTAAACAGGGCCCCGCTGTTGTGTCACTTTTTGTCGAGTGAGTTAACTCAAATCCATCCGTGCACTCGTCAATACATGCTCTTTATCTCTTTATACCGATTTATGCGTCAGGCAGGAGAGCTGCGATTTAACGTAACTTTAACGTAAGATTTGAAACTGTTTTGAGTGTACACGGTAACCAGCGTAAACACATAAATGAGTAAAAAAATACACATTTTTCATATTTATATGCAGCTGTCAAAAAATGTGTATATTTGGAGATCCTAAAATGTGTAAAAAAATACACATTTTAAGTATGCAGTACCAGTCAAAAAATGTGTATTTTTATACTCATTAATGGGTAAAAAAAAAACTTCAAACTTTGCTGCATCCTGCTTTGTTTACGCATGCCATTTGCTAAATAGTGAAGAACAGCAGGAAAGTGGAGGAACTACGGTCCAAACTGGACAGTGCGCAATGATGGACTTTCTAGAGGGTAGGTGATTTATACTTTTTTCATAGTTTTTACTTTTAGTTTAGTTTATATACTTCATATACTGATTTTTGTTTTTCTTCCCTTGATTTGTTTTCCGTGCTGAGCACCAATGCTACCGACGCTAGGGAGGAAGCTCCCATACCTGGACCCTACCTATCGACTCGTCAACTCATGAACCGGGGACCAATGGCTTCACTTCCCTTCCGAAGGAAGGCGTGATCCTCGGCGTGATCAGAGATGTTATGCCTCAGAACATCCTGGCAGCGTCGACTGGGATTGAACCCCTTTCCTGCTGGGGTGAGAGGTAATCACGTGCCGCTACTTATTTTTGTTGATGGCATTTCTTTTTTTAATAAAATATTATTGTATTCGGCAGTCTTTATTTTACCATTGACACAAACAAGAAAATTCTGATGTTAATAAAAAACCTAGTAAAAAACCATAATCTAGAAATGATTACTTTTTACACATTTTGCTGTAAAAACCGTCCTTGAAAAATGTGTAAAAAATACACATCTTTTGACGTTTGCTGGGTTTACACATAAATGTGTAAACGCAGTTTACACATTTTATGAGTAGGCCCCTTTTTTCACGAAATGTGTGAAATTTTACACATTAATGTGTTTACGCTGGTTACCGTGTACGGCTATTGCATCTACACGGCCGATGAGATCAATTCAAAATTCGCATAAACTTACACGACCCCTGAGAATAACTCAGAGAGGGAGAGGGACTGACTTCTTCTCAGAGGCACGGTGAAATTTCTAAAATCTGACTGAATAGCTCTCTCAATTTTTCTCATATTAAAAAAGTATTTCCCAGAAAATCGAGGAAAATTTTACCTACGTTTTTGCGAATTTGGAAAACGAAACTCAAATTTGAGTTTGTTAATCCACCGTGTAGCTCATGGACTGAGTAAGATTTTACTCATATTTGAGAACAATGTTACTCAGTCCATGAGTCACCTTCAATGGCCGTGCAGATTCAATCATTTTTTCCAGAAAAGTGATGAAAATATTACTCACCCACGGAATAACTCCACTTTTTGAGCTTATGAGTCGAATTCAACTCAATTTCGGGCTACTCTCATTATCCGTGCTCGATTAAAACATAATTTTAATTTTGAGCTACTGAAGTTTTTATGAAAATGAGTAAAATCCTATTGATTTCTGATATGTTCACAATGGTCGTGCACAGTGAATCATTGACTAAGGTCCACAAGGTTTGTGTCTTGAATTAGCCAAGCCACCCATCCTCCGTGCGTTGGGTAAAAAGTCCGCTTCGACTACGCTGCCCGGTACCGTTAGTTCATCGCTCTGACAGCAAAACACTGTGTGGAGATAACAACGCGCTTAAGCGTTCGTGCCTTTGTTTACACTTTTCGTCTCAAATTCGGTTTTATTCTGGTGCGATATTACCGTTTGCATATCTGCCGCGCGCGCCGGAAATGGCACCAACTAGACAAGCGCAACAGCACCACACTGTGAGCACAATGTTCCAACTGAGCACCAACTATGAGGAGCTGAATGTGATCGGCACAGGTATGTGTGAGTGGGGTTGTGCGGTTGCGTATGTGTGCGGGAAATGATGCAAACGGCGTCGGTCGCTTATGAGAAAGGATTCCGATGCATTATCCTGAACCCGTGAATGTTAAGAAAATGTAATAATAGTAATGTTGAAATGTGCAATTTTTAGGCGCATACGGCACCGTCTACAAAGCACGTGATCTCAACAACGAAGGTAACATTGTAGCCCTGAAGAAGGTTCGAGTGGCCCTGACCGAGGATGGTGTACCAATGTCGACGCTACGGGAGATTGCTTTGCTAAAGCAGTTGGATGCCTTCCAGCATCCGAACGTTGTCAAGTAATGAAAATGAATCTTCTTTTCTCACTGAGAAGCCACCTGTTGCTGACGCTTCCCCTGTGTGAAAGCGATAGACTTTCATAAATAACCATCTTCGTTTGCAGATTGTTGGACGTTTGCCATGGACCTCGTCTGGAGCGAGAGGGTCAACTGGTTTTGTTTCTTGTTTTTGAACATCTTGAACAGGATCTGGACGACTATATCAAGCGGCTTCCACCGGGAGGAATGCCTCGGATGGCCATTCAAGTAGGTACAATTAGCCTTGGTGAGGAAAAAAAAAACGGTATCTATGGCACTTGATTAGGCCAAACCCTCACGTAAACTTCATATTCAAACTACGTAAGCAAATCGCTGACGATGGATTAACTAGTCAGAGTTGTAGCCTTGCAGTGACTTCAATGAAAGTGTTAACCCTCAGCGACGAACCACCTGGCAAAGAGTAAGACAAATGCACAGGTGGTAAGGTTCGATTTAACAGGGTGTTCGTAACGCTGTTCTATTTTGTTAGAGCTAGTGTAAATGTGCCAGTTTTGGCACTGTCCCTAGAGCTTGAACGATAGTTCTTACTATATATTTTTATGATTTTATTTCCACAGATTGAAAAGATTTTCTAACTTCATTAACTAACTGTTGTTTAACGCAACACGACCGAAAGGGGGTATTCTTCCGTAAGAGCAACCGTAACGGTCGTTGTCATTTGCGCGACATCGGTCGCTGCTATCAATTTACTCGCTGTAGTCCGTACTAGAACAACTCAGAGGGAGAGATAGGCGGAGAAAACAAAATACAATTCGGCAGCAGGGATTTGTTCCTAAATTATCTTGCAACCCTTGCTAGAAGCTAGCATTTCAAATGACTTTTATTTTTGATTCGATTTACGTGCAAAATAATAATTGATTGCATTGCAATATTTTGCACATTTCTTGGTGCCATTTATTAACCACCAGATCAATAGAGTTAGAATATTGTTTTTGGTTCCAAAAACTAGTTGAATTTGAGAAGCACACTATACATCAAGAGCAAATTTTCATTATGTCGTAAGCAACATTCGCACCAATTCGAGAAAAATATAGTTTTGTTTTGATGACCGAAAAGTTATTCCTATTTCCAAGTAAACACATATAATCTCATAGTGATAGCAATGTTTAACATATTTAGCAGGGTTTTAATCATACAAATGCAAATCGCTAGCTTTCATGCTAAAAATACTGGTTTTTGAGTCAAAAGTTATTATACGTCGTTTGGTGGCCCCTATTGTTACTTAAGTCAAAGTGTATTTACCAGGATATTCGGGAGAATTATCAATTACGTCTCCTTACGTGCAGCCCATTCATCATTTTAGGACCACTGAAGTCATCTTAGCAACAAACAGTTCGATTTATTCACTTTAATAATGAGAAAGCGAAACGACGAACGTACACTTTTCACGGGTTTCTCAGCGCTGTTACTTAAGTCAAACGGCATCTCCATAGAAATTGGGTGACTTAAGTAACATCGAAAACTATTTTGATCGGAAGGTGATTACGTCAAAAAGCAATTTGACTGGTAAATAAATTTAAAAATGGGATTTGAACCCAAATTCGGACAGTATATCGACAGTGAGCATTCATAAGGGCGAATACGCGATGATCGATTCTCTTCATCGATTTTCTCTTTGCATTGCTACAGCTAGGCGAAACAATTTTCTAGAATTTGTTCAATGCAGAGTAGTAACAGGTTGTATTGGCTATCAAAAGCAACAGCAAACGCAACGAGAAACGTTAAATCTAGCGAGTTATTAACAAAAGAGAAAATCGACGAAGAGAATCGATCATCGCGTATAGGCCCTTATGCATGCTCACTGTCGATATAGCGTAATAGCAGGAGAATCGATTGACACTGATAGCTCGACTTTGTTTACCTTTGTTACATTCGACGGAATGAAAATTTGCTCTTGACATAAAGGTGATTGAATTTCTGTCTTGGAGGCGAACCAGCCTAAGGCTGAAAGCCTCCTAAATAAAGCTAAATTAATTAATTAATTGAATTTCTGTTCGATTGCAATACTCTCCAATTTATTCTAGTAAGAATAAGAAATCCTCGGAAAAATTCTAATTTGAATGTTCGATTGGCTCAGATTTTGACAGTTCATTTGGCTCAAAACATTCTCTCCGCCCATCTCTCCCTCTGAGTATTTCTAGTCCGTACCGGTAGTGAGCATTTTGACATTTCTACGAATAGCAACCTTTCTCCCGCGCTGCTAAATTTGGTAACGCGCTTCTCACCGAGAAGCCACTGCTATTTTAGTTACTCGTATGGCAACCCCCGATACGGTAGCTGCGCTATGATGAGGGCTGCTAAAATGAGTTTAGCAGCGTACCGTTACGGTTGCTCTAATGATAATCTCTAGAGCACTCGTATATAATTGCACTCTTTATTGCGGAGATTATAATATTCCTGTGTGAATTAGGAAAGAGTGATTCAAAGATATTGCATAATTATAGTACAGTGGTTAAGGTTATGTTTAGGCATAGGCATTATAGTTTTTAATAATTGAGTAGCTTTAGTTTTGTTTCCCCTAGGTGAGATTTGTCCTCACGTTCTAGTCAGGTTTTAAGTGCGTTCTTGCTGTAAGTAGTTTTAAGCTTTAATTTTAGAAGAAATTTCCAGTTTGTCACTAGTTTCTTACCGGTGTGCATCCAGATTAGGATTTAAGTTAGGTTATTGTGTTCATTTGTGATCGTACTGATTCTTCGTTTGTAGGCTAAATTTCTAGTTCATGTAAATAGTTTAGGTTTAACAACAAAATTTACTATTTAAATTCAATTATAAATGTATAAAAACTTCAAATTCTATCGCATAGAAATGTGTTCTGCTATTTTTCACTTTTATCATTTCGACAGTAAACATGCATAAGGGCGTAAACGCGATGATTGATTCTCTTCGTCGATTTTCTCTTTCTGGAATAACTCGCTAGATTTAACGTTTCTCGGTGCGTTTGTTGTTGCTTCTGATAGCCAATACAACCTATTACAACTCTGCATTAACAAATTCTAGAACATTGTTTCGTTTAGCTGTAACAATGCAAAGAGAAAATCGATGAAGAGAATCGATCATCGCGTATACACCCTTATGCATGCTCTCTGTAGAGCTTTTCGACGTTTAACCAGCGCACACTAATGCCAACCGGTGGAAACTAACGATTTTAAATTGGCTCACTACTTGACTAACCTATTGGTCCCAAGCAAATCGATTAACGTACCCCATTCTAGTCGAAATTCTAGTACTACACAATGTTTGTTTTGATTCGCTATAAAAGTTTGACACATAAAATGAGGGGTTCCTGGATTTTTCTATGTTTCAAGGGGCGCATCGATTAGCTTGGGACCGAAGATAGTACCAGAGCTGAGCCAAAAAGTTGAGCACGTTTCTTCGGGACCTAATAGTCTTAGAGTTACCTCTATGCTAATGCACCATTTAAATTGACGGAGTGCGAGCAAGAGGGAAACAGATTAGTGGGAAAACAAGCCATCGCTGTGTGCTAGATAGAGAAAAACGATTAAACGTCAAAAAGTTCTGTTCGATGTGATCAAGTTTAATAACCTCTAATTCAACAGTTGCAACAACATGCATAAGGGCGTAAACGCGATGATCGCTTCTCTTCATAGATTTTCTCTACACATTGCTACAGCTAAAGCGAAAAAAATTTCTGGAATTTATTCTTTGTAAAGCTTAAACAGGTTGTATTGACTATCAGATGCAACAGCAAAGAACCGAAAGCTGGATCACATTAATCAAACTCGTCTGGATTTTTGAAACGCAGCCGACAGTTTGACATTATCGGAAGGCCGAGGCATTTTATAGGTTTAATTGAATTGAAGAGATAAGCCTGGTGGTAGAGAGCAATGAAATAGAATCCAATTTCAATTTGGCGAAAAGTAATAACTTATGTTCGAAACCAATACGTAGTATAGTCGCTATATTCATAGTCTGGTGGATAGAATTTCGATCTATCGAAAAGCGGAACCAATTCAATATATTGTAGACCAACAATTGAAAAGGTACTATCAACTTTTATAAACAAAACGTTGATTATTCTTTCTTCGCCAATCGAACGCAAATTACCAGCATCATCGGATAAGCGAAACTTTCCCCAACCCAAAGATGGTGTTAGCATAGAGGTAACTCAAAGACTAGAAGGTCCCGAAATAACGTGCTCAACTTTTTGGCTCAGCTCTGATACTCTCTTCGGTCCCAAGCTAATTGATTCACCCCTCGAAACAGAATAAAAAACCAATAACCCCTCATTTTATCTGTCAAACTTTCATAGCGAATCAAAACAAACATCGCGTAGTACTAAAATTTCGACTAGAATGGGATATTTAAAATCGTTAGTTTCGTATTGATTGTTGGTGTTAGTTTGCGTAGACGAGTCTTGAGTCACGAGAAAAGGGTTTCCTTAGATTTGTTCGCAATAGCTGATGTGCTCTTTTCTGTTTTTGGTCGTGATTTGCTCGATTGGTTCCGCTATTGGACAGTTCAATTGGTTCCCGAGATTCTATCCGCCAGACTATGAATATAGCGACTATAATACGTAGTACGTAGAAAGGGAAAGTTTCTTTCTAACCATCGGTTGGTAGTGATAAGTTGGAGCCTCTCTGAGTCCCATACACGCTGCAATCTGGTTGTATAGCCAGGCTGGGTTGATGCTCGGTTGTATCTTAGAGGTAACTCTAAGACCAGAAGGTCCCGAAGAAATGTGCTCAACTTTTTGGCTCAGCACTGGTACCAACAATCAATTCGAAACTAACGATTTTAAATTGGCTCACTACTTGACTAGCCTCTTGGTCCCAAGCAAATCGATTAACGTACCCCATTCTAGTATAAATTCCAGTACTACACTATGTTTGTTTTGATTCGCTATGAAAGTTTGACAGTTAAAATGAGGGGTTCGTGGATTTTCCCATGTTTCGAGGGGTGCATCGATTAGTTTGAGCATGATTTACCGTCCACGGTTGCTACTCTGTTATTGCCAGACCAGCTGTAATTACACAGAGAACCAATAGACGATGCTTGGGACTAGCAATCATCCTCAATGTGTAAAAACTGGTGATCTCGAATTAGGCAATACCAGCGGCAGCCGCGCCTGAACGCAGGCCAAGAAAGGAATGGGTAGGAATGTGTTGACGTGACACTCTCTTTGATGGAAGCCGAGGAGTCCCTGCACTTCCACGAGGAATCACAGGGATGTTGGGTAAGAGGGTTGGGTTAGCAGCAGGGTTCGTTTTGATCGTTTTTTTCGGGTTCGGTTCGATCGTATAACGCGAAGGAGCTTGGGATTGAACCCACGGTCCTCTGCTCAGTAAGCAAAAACGTCTGCCACTAGGCAGACGAGCTCCTTTTTAATCATTGACGAATCTTGAATGTGGATGGGTCTGAGACTAGACTCATGATGTTCTGCTCAGTAAGCAAAAACGGTTGCTCTAAGGCCACCGAGCCTCTCATATCACATTATAGCGTTACTCAAGTTTTTATAACTCTTCAAACCCGGCACCGACGACAACGAAAAGTTTTACAAAATACACGATAAACAAGCGATATTTTAATATTTTTAATATGAAAGGATCTGGGACCGCGTCTTTCTCCTCAGTAAGCAAGCCACTGCAACCGACGATCTTTGAAATCCTAAAACTAAAAACTACGAAAGAGTACTTAGGCCTTCATTAAGATCCACTTTCACGCGACGTTCAATGTTTCGATTTTCTCTTTACGCATGGTTCAGGCAATCATAACAAGCTATGACCGACGTGACGATTGTTTAAGACCTGGTTAAACAAGCTATTCAAATAAAATTATGTTCTCGAATTTCACTTGGAATGTAATGAACAACAGAAATACGCGATAATTCATATTTTCAGCGGTTGATGTTTAATTTTAAATATACCAACGGTACTGCCTCCGACTACGACGGCAATTACGACAGCGACTACAACGCAACGGCGCCTACGACAACGACAACAGAGAATTTGTAACTTACCATTTGTCTAGGATAAACACCTTTGGCCGGCACCTCCACTGGTTCTTCATGTCTGCTATCTGCCACTGTTTGCAAAATATCTAATAGCAATTACCTTTGTTGTGATACTTCATGTATTGGCATGGTGATCTGGGAGGAGGTTCGCATCTAATAAAAATTAATTTCGTTAGTTAATAGAAAAACTGTTTGTACAATCTACCTTCCATATGAGTGAGTAGATTCAACAATAATTTTCTGCTTTTTTAATCAAAACAAAATATGTTTGTTCAATCACGAGCTTCTTTTTTAATCAAAAAAATATGACTTAAAGAAAATTTTGTGATGCTTCCAAAAAGAATTTACATTTGATGTAAATAACCTGAAATGTGGTATTTTTTTCGTATTGTTTGTTTCTTGCAATTTTGAACTAAAATATTTACAACCATGTTCGGATATTAAACAATATGTATTACATTTACAAAATTACAGCACCTAAATGACGATTTTTGATTTACTTTGTGTAAATTAATCGTTCTCATTTCAAGATTCTGAATGTTAGAAATATTTTTTCTTTCAGCTATTTCGTAAACTTCAAATAACTGCAAATAGTCGTGAAATTAAATGGCTGAACCTGATCCGAAATTAAATGTTCTTATCTATGACTACTTCCTCGCTCACACTAAACGATTTCAATAAATTTAATAACTCTAAATCTTCTACACCGAGGGCGAGCGTTTCTACTTCCCGCTCTTCAAATCACAACTTCCTATCACCAGTTGAAACAGTTGACGTTTTTTACTACACTCGCTTCGTTGTCGTGCACGACAGTCTGTTTGTATTCGAACACTCATGCTCTACCGTCGTCTCTCTCACACAACACGAGCGGTAGAATAACATTCGAGCTAAAAGAAAATTATCAAAATAGCTATCATATGACATGTGTGATTTCGTTGTAATTCCTCAATTTGGTGTAAATCAAACCATTTCTGATCAGAAATATTATTACTAGGACATCATTGCTTGCTATTTTCAGAATTCACACAAGCACATCATCAGCAGCTCCTATTATGAGAAAAAACTTTAATACATACATTCGTGACGGTCTTCAGCGACAGTGTCGTATGACAGAGCCTGTCATACGACATTTTAGTTTGGTACTGTACTATGATAGCTTGCTTTGCAAGTGTCGGAGGCAAAGGCAGTCAATTATCACAGAAAATGTGTCGACTACCGTGACCGCTTACAAGACTGCCTATCACCGACAAACCGACATGAATGATCATACAAATTACAAAGAAATTTCTGCTCAAATAATAAAAGAAAATAAGATAGAAAATATTTATCGTAGCCACACGCGTACACAATTTATGAGTTGGTTCGTGTCCAATCTATTTCGGACAAATTATTTTTATCTAGATAAAACATTTCTATGGTTTTGACAGATGGGATCGCTGCACATTTGAATCGACCGTTATGGATTCTCGATCAAGAGTTAAGGCCCAAGCGCAATGACAGCGGTAGCGGAAAAGCCCGATCTGAGTAAGCCTACTTGTCGGGTTGAAAACTAGTTAGAACCAAATCGACTTCGGTTAGGCATCTTGATGTCATTTGTGACAACAGTCAAACTTTCCGTTTCCGTTCCGCTTCCGCCCACATTGCGTTTGGGCCTTTAAGTTTAAGTTTCATGTCGGTTTGTCGGTGTTTCCTATAAAGAGTCCTTTTTTTCCTCCCCCTTAGTCTGCGCCGCGAGTGAGGTGAGGTGACAAAAGTCACCGCAAGTGAGGTGACTCTCCGTGTACATCAAATAGCGGTGCAGAACAGACCTGCCTGTTAGCATGCTGTAATTAAATGCCGGCTCACACATAGACAAATATTCAGCTAATTTTTGAAAGGATAGTTTTTGAATTTAAAAGCAATGCCTACTTACTACTTCTTCGCATTTCAAGCTTATTGCATATCGCATATTAGCTTATTGCGTGCTCTCAACTTAGTGTTCTATAGATGCACTTCCACAGTTATTAATTGAGAGCTTTCGATGCCTGTACCATTTTTGCATTGCATCTATGCCCAGGGAAGCCGAGAAAATTTCCAACCCGAAAAATTCCTAGACCGGACCGGGAACTGAACCCAGCCACCTCCAGCATGGTCTTGCTATGTAGCTGCGCCTTTACCGACTGAGCTAAGGGAGGCCCCAAGCAATGCCTTTGTTTCTAATAACAATACTGTAGAATGAACACACCGATTTTTTCTTTGATTCAAGCAAAACATATTAATATATTTGATTAAAATATGCCTTGTTTCTCTGCGTGTATGAGTGCGTTGATCAATGTTCAGAATGGTTCATAGCATGAGATTCGCATATGTATGAAATTAATGTTTACCGCATATGATATCGACGCGGGGAATTTTTTTTAGAGTTCTATGCAGAAATTAAAACGTAGTATTCATTACACTTTCAGCGCCTCTCCCGCGAGCTTCTGACTGGTGTCGACTTCCTGCACTCGCATCGAATCATCCATCGTGACTTGAAACCGCAGAATCTTCTAATCTCGGCCCAGGGTCAGCTAAAGTTGGCCGACTTTGGACTCGCCAAAACGTACGATTTCGAAATGAAACTTACGACCGTCGTCGTTACGCTGTGGTACCGGGCACCGGAGGTACTGCTTGGTGAACCCTATCACAGTTCGGTCGATATCTGGAGCTCCGGCTGTATCATAGCGGAAATGTTCCAACGGGTTGCGCTATTCCCGGGTACATCGGAAGGCAATCAACTGGAGAAGATTTTCGAGTAAGTTTTAGCTACATTGCTCCAAGATAGGGAATCTGTCTGTACGTCGACCTTTCCATTTTCAGATTGACCGGTAGGCCTTCGGAGAGCCAATGGCCACGAGGTATTTCTGTTGCGAGGGAAAATTTCCGACCAACACTACCACGAGAACCGCGCGAACTGTGCCCGAAGCTGTGTGATTTTTCCAACGATCTGCTTAAGAAAATGCTCGCATTCAATCCACGCCAACGACCTTCGGCCATGCAGTGCCTTCAGCATCCCTACATTACTCAGGAGCCGATGTGAATTGTCATTGGCCAACAGAAAATCTACAGCCATACAACCCATTCTCAGAGTTACGATCATATCATTTGGCACCACCCAGGCACCAATCACCATCTTTATTTTTCTTAATCATCTCTAATTAATTTGCCTTAAACATTCGACTACAATAGTGTAAACCTCTATTATAGTGTTATACATATTAAAAATATGTGTGGGTAGTAACTTGGTAACATGGGTGGTTGATGACATGATGGTTAATAGGTAAGTGAAACTGCCAAAATAATGCATAAATATATTACAGATTTCAACTGTGAAAAACCAGTTTCATGGCATGTACAACCATATTAATGATTTCATCCAAGATCTCTCGTGACGGAGAAGAAGACATACATCTACTGTACAGTTCTAGACCAACAATTGAAATAGGCGGAACAACCAAACGTAAACAGTTTCTGGAGAATCAAAATACACCCACGCAAACTAACAATACCATTCAATAAAGGAAGTTTTCTCTATCACATTGTGGTGTTAGATTGCGTGGATGTGTTTTGATTCTCGAGAAATTTGCGATCAAAGCCATTGTTTACGTTTGGTTGTTCCGCCTATTTCAATTGTTGGTCTAGAGTTGATTTAATTGTGGCCTAAAATCATTTCAATGTCTATTTTTCTGTATACAAAACGTTTTCGAGATGTCATTTATTATTATGTACGAATACAAAATGGTATCGCATTGTACCAGAACTGAAATGTGATATCATTTATCGTGTAGAAATTATGAGAAATCTCTGAACCAGCCTTTGACTGAAAATCGCGAAAATAAATTATTTAAAAAACCGATTGGCATGAATGTTCCATTAGGCGATAAGTTCGGTTTGACTTTCGGGAAAACTGATGTATAAACACTGGAAAAGAAAAAAAAAGAAGTAATTACTCAAGGATGATATGCTTTCTTGATACATTTTGAGTTAAATTTCACTTTCGACAAGAAGAACAGCAATGCACTTAATGGAAACTCAAATTGTGAGATGCACGTTTATAATACCTTAGCACAGAACTTTTTAATTGCTTACGTGCTTATACTAAAGAAAGTAGGCTCTGGGTGCATTTAACAAATAATGCCATGTATAAATAATTAAAAAATGGGGTAAACAAACGAACAAAAAAAAAGGAAGATTATCGAGTAGGTAAGTTGCTTCATCATAAAGGTAAGTGAATCACTAAATGTTGAGTAAGGAAGGGTCCACCAGGACACCCGATTGAAGCGAAATGGATGGGTACAAAAATACCAACTCCCTTTCTTTAACTTTTCGTTAATAGAGGGCGAGCTCTTCTCCCCACTCGTTGGGGCATTAGACTGATGCAAAATTTTAAATTTGCACTCTACAGTGCTCAAACGGTTCCAAATTGGGCCCTGATTAGCCTCCCAAAATTTGAACTCATTTAGTAAAAAACTGACTTGGCACAAACCATTTGAAGTTTATATGGAAATTACTATGGAGAAACCATAATTTCGGTTCATATCTATCTCAAAATTCACTAGTTCACTCTACTTTAGAAACTGATAACTAAGCTTGTTGAAAATTTTCTCAGCTACAACTTTGTTGAAGACCAGTTTTCGATCAAATCTAAGGAACAAAAATTATTAATGATTCAAGTCACTGATGTCTTATGATTATGCTCAATCAATTGTTCAGCCGGCAACATTGGCGTTTATGGCGCGTAGAATAGAGGACAAAAATCATGGCTGCAGAATACAGTGTTGCCCACAATACAGTTGCTTAATATTGCCATAAGATTATCAATCTCTTAATCAATTAATAACTATTTCATTTGACGTTTGGCTGAAAAACGATTTTCTGCAAAGTTGTAGCTGATAAAAATTCCCATAAGAATAGCAATAGAATTTGTTAACAGTACAATATGTAAAAAGGCTAGAAGACAATGAACAAAAAGTGTTGTTTTCCCATAGTAATTTCCATATAAACTTCAAATGGTTTGTGACAAGTCAGTTTCTCACTAAATGAGTTCAAGTTTTGGGAGGCTAATCAGGGCCCAATTTGGAACCGTTTGAGCACTGTGGAGCGAAAATTTCAAATTTTGCATCAGTCTATTGGGGCATCCTCCTGTTGGATGATTTGTTTTTTTACCGGTTCTATGATCCTGTCGTTGGAGGGAAATACTCATTTATCTAGTGGATGCACGTGGGCGATAGTGCCCACGGATTCACCCAAACCATTTTGCCCCTTCATACAATGGCAGATTGAGTAAAATTAGAGGTCATTAAACTTGATCAAGTCGAACAGCGAGGATAGTTCACAGTCTATTGACAGTTGTGACGTAGGACTACGTGGTCTTATATAATACATCTTATTTGTTAACTGCAACAGGAGCTTGTGTTTTGTGTAGGAATAGGAATTTGAGCGGGGTTCTCTCTGTTTATACTCTTTAGTATGACGTATTGCAAGGATGGCCCACAGCAATTCACGAAGAGCTACTGATTCCGATCAATAGCGCTGCGGCTTCTTCCTCCTTTATTGGATGCTCATGTGGGCTACAGCTCACCACTTGCAGGCAGTCTTTTGTTGTGTACTAGAGAACCCCATCACTCACCACGCGGTGATTGCATAAACACCGTTTGGTGAGACCGGATGGCATTCAACTTTGAAATCTGTGTTAGGGAAATCGCTTTTCGCAGGCAATTGGTGATAACTTTAATTATTATAACAACAGTGACAATTTTCAACAGTGACATTTAAAAAAAATGATAAAGTCTTAAGTTTAACAGATGCGTAGACATATTTCTAATCGATTGGTGATAAAATTATTGAAATTGGTCCAGGGGCAGCTGAGTTATTAACGTTCAAAATCTTTCATAATTTTGTTACATGTTCTAATTTCGGTTTTCACAAAGTGTACCCCCATATAGAAATCACAGACGTAGTCCTACGTCAAAAATACGGTTCGAACGAAAACGAGAATAAGGGCGAATGTGTGGTTCAAACAACATCACATAATTGCTGAAGTTCAAGCGTTAGAGGGCTACAAAATGGTGAGTGACAATCTGGAAGGAGCGATATACCTAGCTCCGGTCCTCACAAGTTCCTACCTCACGCCCCCACGAGTCATATGATCATAAAAGACTGCCAGCTGAAACATGGACACAGCTGGTTGGCGTAGCCTGGGCAATGTTGTCAATCCGACAATAGCAGAGTGAGGAGGTACGACGCGAACACTGGCGCGGTAACCATAGCACGGTGCTTCACCAAACCCGAGCGTCTGTTCACCATGGAGGTGCGGCTCGAACAGCGTCTGACTGGCATCCAGCGACTGAATAAGAAATGCTCTTCCCCAGAAGCTACACCTAAGATGGCAGCCCCATCACGGCGCATAGGAGACCTTAGGCCAACCACCTACTGTCTCTGAAACCTTTACAATTGTTACAGAAACCAACAGAGAAAGACATCGAACTGATTTAACGGCAACGACTTTTAGCTCAGCAGGGTAAACTGACACAACTCGCCAACGAGGTGCGACGCATGAAGCTATAAATCCTGAGACTGAGTGAAGTTCGTTGGTCAAACTTTGGAGAACACAAACTGCCGTCGGGACAGGTACTACTATACTCTGGTATTCAAGGTGAAAACGCTCCCCGCCATCGTGGAGTTGGTCTCCTACTTAGCGTCCAGGCAAGTGCTGCGTTCATCAAGTGGGAGCCTGTTAATGAGAGGATAATCGTTGCCAGATTTAGAACACGGGTTCGTAACCTTACCATAATCCAATGTTATGCGCCAACCGATGCTGCCAAGCTACAGGACAAGTCAACAATGCCGTCGTGGATAAGGTTCCAAAGGGTGACATCAAGATCTACACTGGCGACTTCAATGCGAAGATCGGCTCCGACAACACGGACTATGAGCGTGTCATGGGACGCCATGGTCTCGGCGAAATGAGTGAGAACGGTGAGCTGTTTGCAGAATTTTGTGGCAATAACGAAATGGTGATCGGTCACGTGGGTTTCCCGTGATGGACATACCGAAAATCAGATCGACCACATCTGCATCAGCCGAAAATAGAGACGGAGCCTTCTTGATGTCCGGAATAAACGCAGCGCCGACATCGCGTCTGACCATCACCTTCTAATCGGTGAAATCCGCCTACGCATGGCGTGGATCCAGCGACGGGAGGAGAGACTCGGGCGGCGGTTCAACACACGCCGGCTTGAAGATCCAACGGCGCATCACTCGCGTCAATTCCGAGGCCCCATCACTGCAGGAGATTGAAGCAGCTATCCTAAGCATTAAATCCAACAAGGCTCCAGGGGTCGATCGTATATCAGCAGAGATGCTCAAAGCTGACCCCATGCTATCCGCACAAATGTTGCATCAACTATTCTGTAATATCTGGGACACTGCGACTTTTCCGGCCGACTGGATGCAGGGCATCTTAGTGAAGGTCCCAAAGAAGGGGGATCTGACTGTGTGCGACAATTGGCGAGGCATCATGTTACTGTGCATTGTTCTCAAAGTTCTGTGCAAAGTTATCCTGAATCGGATACAGGAGAAGATCGACGCGACTCTCCGACGGCAGCAGGCAGGATTCCGTGCCGGAAGATCTTGTGTGGACCATATTGTGACGCTCCGCATCATCCTGGAGCAGGTCAATGAATTCCAAGAGTCCCTTTATTTGGTATTCATGGACTACGAAAAAGTTTTCGACCGTCTCAATCACGAGAATCTGTGGGGCGCCCTGAGACGCAAGGGAGTCCCGGATAAAATCGTCAACCTCATCGAAGCGCAGTATGAGGCTTTCACGTGCAGAGTTCTGCATAACGGAGCCTTTTCCGACCCTATCCGGGTAGTCACTGGTGTGAGACAAGGATGTATACTATCACCGCTACTGTTTCTCATCGTAATCGACGAGATCATGGTAGGTGCAATTGACCGTGTACCGAACCGTGAGCTGCTTTGGCAGCCTATCACCATGGAGCATCTCAACGACTTCAATTTGGCTGATGATGTTGCTCTACTAGCACAACGGCGCTCTGATATGCAGAGTAAGCTCAATGACCTAGCCGAACGCTCCTCTGCGGCGGGTCTCACCATCAACGTCAACAAAACGAAATCGTTGGATATCAACACGGGCAACCCTTCCAACTTTACGGTAGCGGGGCAAGCAGTGGAGAAGGTCGAAAGTTTTCAATATCTTGGCAGCCAAATAGCGTCGGACGGTGGGACCAAGAGCGACATAGGTGCACGAATCAAGAAGGCTAGGGCTGCCTTTGCGAGTTTACGAAACGTATGGAGATCCAACCAGATAAGTCAACGCACCAAAATCCGAATTTTCAACTCGAACGTGAAATCTGTGTTGTTATACGCCAGCGAGACGTGGTGTGTATCAGCGGAGAACACTCAAAAGCTGCAGGTCTTCATCAACCGATGCCTGCG